CTCCAGTCTGGGCGACCGAGTGAGACTCCAACTCAAAAAAAAAAAAAAAATGAGTCACTTAGCTGGTACAATAACATAGTCAAGCCCATTGCAGCCAGATCTCAATGCTCCTTCATAGCTGTCAATTAACACTCATAGTAACTCTGATAAAGGAATGTAAAGGAGTCACTCAGAGTTCTACAGTCACATCTATGAGAGCAATGATATGTTACATTGGTTTCCTCATGTTTACGGTCTCTAGGCCATAAAACAAATGACTGCTGGATGTCAAAAATCTAGTGTACTTAGTAGCCCATTCACAGGTAGTGATTTCTCAGGTGTATCCCCCAGTTGTTTTGTAAAGGAACAGTGGCTGTAGGTGAGATGTCTGTAAATCAGTCTGACACATATAACTCATCCAAGAAATTAATGCTCGAGACTACAAGAACAAAAATGGACTGGCAAAAACAAGAATGCTATAACTGATTTGTTATAAGATTGACTGATTTGTTTGAAGATTAGATGAATATATCTAGTCAGGTAATCTAACTAGAGATGATTAATATGTAATCAGTCAACAAATTTTATTAGTACCTAGTATGTACCAGGCACAACACAAAATAAGAACAATGAGTTGGAGTCCAGGTCACTCAGTCTGGGAGGGTTTTAAAGAGCAAACACTCCCCTGAGGGATAAACCATCTAATTTACCAGAAAATATTATTAGGCATGCTACAAAATACACATCTCACTAGGGTTTATGAAACCACAGACTTCCATCATGGCTCTGATGAGTTGACTCATATAAATTACTAAGGAGATTTTTCATCGAGAATTTGGCAATGGGGACAGGAGACGTCAAAACCCTTCCCAGCATCCTACATACTGAACTTTGACCATGTAGTTGGCTCATGCCAGAGGAAACTCAGAGGCATCAGGAATGTGCTTAAAAGGCAAACCAACATAAAACTCCACAGGTTAACAGTACAACCACTTTGGAAAACAGTCTGACAATTTCTCAAAAAGTTAAATAGGGTTACCACGTAACCCACCAATTCCATTCCTAGATACACACCCAAGAGAATACAAAACATATGGACACACAAAAACATGTACAAAAATGTTCACAGCAACATTATTAATGAAATCCAAAAAATGGAATCAACTCAAATGTCCATCAACTTATGAACAGATAAACAAAATGTGGTATCTCCATACAATGGAATATCATCCGGCCATAATACTAACTGAACTATAGATTCATGCTACACAGCGTAGATAAAACTTAAAAACCTTACAGTAAGTGAAAGAAGCTAGTCACAAAATGCCACATATTATATGATTCCATTTATATGAAATGTCCAGAATAGGAAAATCCATTTCCTATTCTGAAAAAGACAGAAAGTAGATTGGTGGTTGCGATCTGGGGGAGGGGGAAATGGGAACTGACTGACAATGGGTACAAGGTTTCTTTCTGGGGTGATGGAAAGTCTGAAAATTATTTTGTGGAGACAGTTGCACAACTTTGTGAATATATTAAACCATAAAATTGTACACTTTAAGAGGGTAAATTGAATGGTATGTGAATCATAACTCAGCTGCCCTCAGATTAAAAGCAGCATAATATGGTCAAATAACTGAAGAAAGTTTTGTATGGCTAGTGAGAAAGTATGCAAAAGTTAGCAGGATTATGACAAAAGATGAGGTTTAAAGAGCACAAGAGTCTCTTCATGAAAAGTGTGGTAAATCCTATGGACAACAGGAACCACTAGAGTGATATAAACACAGTCATGAGGCCAACCAGATTTGTGGTTCTGAATGATCAATTCACCTGTATTGTGAGATGTGGACTGAAGACAGCAGACTAGAAAGTAGAACCCCGCTACAGGATATCCAGGCAAGAGATGGGGATCTCCTAAACTAGGGAAGTGACAATGGTCAATACAGTCAAAAGATATAAAAATGAACAGAACTTGGCAAGTGATTAGACATGTGGAATGAGGCAAAAACAAGAGTCTTTGAGTAGCTGGCTACTTATTCCTAAGGGAATACCCTTAGGAAGGAGAATAACTTTTGGGACAAAGGAAAACTATGGAGTCTGGGGACACAAGAGGAATTTAAATCAAGGAGAGAATTTAAATAGGTAGTCAAATTTTAAATAGAAAGACTTTGGTTAAGAGATATACAATGGATACTTCTATTCGGTAGTACACACACACACACACACACACACACACACACACACACACACAGATACACATCGCATCACATCACCTTGTCCATATAGAATACATAATATTTTTGAATGACTGACTGCATAAATCACAAAATGAATCTATCATGTGCTTATTAATTTTGGTACCTATCCTGCTAGCACTAGGTTTTCATCTCTGCCCAAATTTATGTGGAATTGTAATACATACACACACACACACACACCTTCAACCAGATTTGCAGTGTTTGCACATCCACCTTTGTATAACTGTAAGGAAAACTTAGGTATTATTATATAACAGTGTAAAAAAGATAGAACTACATAACTGTAAAAAAGATTTACTAATCCAGCAGAAACAATCAACAGAGTGAAAAAGCAACCTACTATGAGAAAATATATTTGCAACCTACACATTTGATATGGGGTTAATATCCAAAATATGAGGGGGGACCCCAAAAAGGTGGAATTATTTTTTGGGGGGCGGGCCCCTTGACGTACACTCAGAATTTATTCCTCCAGGTCAAATGGACAGCCAAGGTTTCTATCTGGAAGTGTTGAGAAGGCTGTGTCATTATTTGCAGAAGGAACACTCCAAGTTGTGGCAAACAGGTGACTGGTTCTCCCATCATGACAACACACCTGCCCACACCGCAGAGTGTTCAGCAGTTTTAGACCAAAAACGGCATCACCCCCATGCCCCGCCCTCCCTATACACCCCATCTCGCCCCAAGCAACTTTTTTTTGTTTCCCCAGATGAAAAAAATCCTCAAAGGAAAACGTTTTGCCAATGTGGAAGAGGTGAAACAAAAAAATGGCAGAAGCACTAAAAGTTGCCCAAATAGATGAGTTGAAAAACTGTTTTGAGCAGTGGAAAAAGCATCTCGATAGGTGTATTGCATCAAACAGAAAGTAAGTTGAAGGTGACTGAAGTTTAAAGGTGTAAGAATAAACACAAAATTTTGTATGAATAAATTGCAGCTTTTTGGAGCCCCTCTCCATACATAAGGAACTCAAACAACTCAACAGAAAAAATAATAATAATAACCTAATGTCTAGAAAGGGCCAAGGAAAAAAGCACAACATCACCAATCATCAGGGAAAGGCAAATCAAGCCCACAAATAAGATTTCACCTCACTCTTGTTAGAATGGCTACCAACAAAAAGTCAAAAGATATGAAGTGTTGATGCAGACGTGGAGAACAGAACAACCCTTCAGACTGCTGCTAAGAATGAAGATTAATACAGCCATTATGGAAAGCACCATAGTTCCTCAAAAAATTAAAACCAGAACTACCATATGATCCAGCAATCCCCCTACTGGCTATATATCCAGGGGTAGTAAAGTCAGTACATCAAAGAGATATCTGTACTCTCATGTTGACTACAGCACTATTCACAATAGTCAAGGAATCAATCAAAGGGCCCTGAATGGAAAAAGAAAATGGTGTGTGTGTGTGTGTGTGTGTGTGTGTGTGTGTGTGTGTGTGTGTGTGTGTGTAATAGAATACTATTCAGCCATTCAAAAAAGGAAATCCTGTCATTTGCAACAAGATGAATGAACCTAGAGGATACCATATTAAGTAAAATAAACTGGGAACAGAAAGACAAACACTGCATAATCTTACGTACATGGAATTTTTAAAAGTTGAGCTCATAGAAGCAGAGAATAGAATAGAGGTAATCAGAGGCTGGGGAGAAGAGGGAGGAAGAGGGATGAAGAGAGGCTGGACAAGGGTACAGTGCTGCAGTCAGGAGAAAGAAGTTCTGATTTTCTAATATACAGTAAAGTGATTATAGCTAACAATCTGGTATTGTATATTTCAAAAAGTTAAAAGAAATTTTAATGTTCTCACCACAAAGAACTGATAAATGTTTGAGGTAGTAGAAATGCTAACTACTCTGATTTGACCATTACACAATATCACACTGTAGCCCACAAATATGTGTCAACTAGGTGTCAATTAAAATAAATAATTTTTAAAGCTTATACTATAAATTCTAGTCTGTAGTAAATGACATTATCTGAAGTTTCAAGAAAGAAATGCTCCAATGGCCCAAATACAAAATTAAAATTGCTTAACTTCTAAATATTGTTTTACTATTTACTAATTTTGCTTAATATCTATTGGCTATAACAAAAAATCCAAAACATTAAATTCAAGAACTAGTCAAAAAATGATGTCTAAATGCAAATATTTTATAGGCCATAGACATCTATAAGAAAATATGTCAAAACATGAAAAGTGGCTATTTCAAGATAGCCTACAATTTTTGCTATTTTTATTTTCTTTTTTAATGTTTTTCTGTATATTCTATGAAATCCATTATCTTCACAATTAAATGATACTTTGAAGATACGCTTTTACATTTTCTCTTACTATTTTATGTGGCTTACCTTTTTTTCCCAGTCATTATTTAGAGATTCTGTACTTTGTTCACATATCTTTTTCAGTTCTGCAATCTGGTTTTCTTTAGTTTCTCTGATAATTTGACAGTCACGTACAAGGGTCTGAACTGTCAAAAATAATGAAAACAGTTAAACCAAATCTAAATACCTCACAAGAGTTTGATGATATAGATTATAGAATATAGTGTACTAGATCATAGAAAACCAACTTTCACCAAGTCTTTTTACTTCTCTCTTCTAAAATATGTTTTATTCCTTGTTCTTTTTTCTCCACTCCTGCCACCACAGACAGTCTTGGATTCAACATTACTCCCTACCTAGACAATTTTACCAGTGTACTAGCCTCAGGTATAATTCCCCTCCAATAAATCCTCTTTTGCTTTTAAGAAGCCTTTAAGCAGTGCAAATCCAGCAGTATTACTCCCAGGCTTCTAGTCATTCCACAGTTCTCCTCACCTAAAAGATACAAGCCAAAGCCTCTTGCCTGGAAAACAGTTACTCATGGTCCAACTATCCTCTGGCCATATCTCTTGCCACTTACTTGTTTTAAACCTGTTTTATAAACACACTGACCTATCAACAGATTCCTAAGAGCATGTTCTTCTTACCTTACTGCCTAAACACGACCACCTATCTACCTAGAATGCTCTTCTCTCCCTCGTTGAAAAATTCCTATTCATCCTTGGAATCGCAATTCAAGAATCACCTCCTTTGAACCATTCACCAACCTATGTTCACTGAGGAGAATATGTTTCGATTTATGCATGTAATCAAGGGTTTCACAGGGCATAACAATGCCACACAGGCAAATGCTCAAAAAGATATGTAATGAATGAATAAATAAAGGAATCCATCATTTCAAAATATTGTTGCTCCTAGACACTTTAAAATTGTTTTCAGGGTTTATGTTATTAAAACAAAATATGTTTTAAATTACATAAAATATTTGCCTTATAATTCATTTATATTCCTATCTTCTTTACTAAGATTATTTAAGCAGTCACTGATTTAAGTGGAAGTGTGTTTAAGAGATTCAAGTCATCTGGATAGTAAAATAAACTCAGCCATATTTTTATTTAAATATATTTTCTTAATTTACTAAATATACTTTTTTATTTATTTACTTCAAGATAGCAAAATTTCAAAGACATTTCCCTAAAAATCATTTTCACTCTTATATCTCAACTATGCAACAAACAAGGAAAGGAGATGAATCAAAGTTAACCTAATATGAGTCTTCAACATCTAAACCATATTTCACTTTACACTTTCTAAACTAAACTGAGATCTGGTTGCAATTTTTAAAATCTTAAGAAACATTATGTTTAAACCTTAGGCATTTTTAAACCTTGGGCACATTTGAATTACCTGGTTTGAAAAGAAAACCTAGAAATAGAGAAAACTTTTAAATAAATTTAAAATATTTGTCTAGCCACTGATAATATTTAGAGAAAACCTAAACAAACTTCTTATTGCTTTCACCAACATTTAAGGATGAAAATGAATCTAAAAACATCTTTTTAACTGGCTAATTTGTACGTGCAATTGCCAAGGACATTGCCACTCACTCAGATACACTAGGGTTTGGTGAAATGGACCCAGGTAAGCTCCATACGGAAACTCCTGAATGAAAACCTTCTATCACCTTCCTCTTACTCACTGCCTATATCTTATCATGCACAAAATTATGATTCACTCTTACAGCGTTCTCCATCAGTTCCATTCTCACTCAGATATTCTGGGTCCTTCTCATCTGAACATGCAAAATTACAGAAGCACAGAAGTATAACATCTCTGAGTTGGAAGCAATTTTATACATTATCTATTCTGACCTCACCATTTTATAATGAGTAAACCAAGGCCCAGAGATTTCCTAATGTCATATATCAGACATTGACTAGTAGAGTTCAGATTTGCTATGTTTTCTAACCAGTAGAATGCTCTCTCCCTCACTCCATTCTGCCTTTGACTTCTGTGATGGTGTAGGAATTGGCCTCAACCGTGTTCCGCACACCCATTACCAGGTTGCTCCTCCCAAAACAGAAGGTCCTAAAACTCACATCTCAAAAAGCTTCTCTGGCTCCCCACCATCTGCAGGATAAAGTTCAAACTTCTAAATCTGAAAACCAAGGTCATGAGCAATCTGGCCCAAGTCAACTAATTTAACCTTTTCAAATCTCTCTCTTAACACATAGGGTATCCACTCTGGCTAAATAATTTTGAAGAATCCTTCCAACAACTTACTAATTTCAGCATTCCTATTCTAGTACCAGGAACTCTCCAACTGATCAAATCTTTAAAAACTTTTAAAATCTTACACAAAGTCTACCACCAAAAAATATTTTCAACACCCACTCTATCTAATGATCATTTCTTGATTAAGACGTTTTGGCCCATAATCATAATCAACTTAACCCTTGATTACATGCATTATTTTCCTTCTTGAGGAAAGCATAAACATGGAATACTTTTAAAGTTTTTCTGTCAATCACAATACTAGCATATAACATAAAGCATAAAGTAGATACTTCACGTAATGAATTTTACTAGATGAAGCAGAGTAATATCCTTCAACTTCCTCATGAAAGTCAGTAAATCCTAATTCTATGATGCCCTCAAGTATTTATGGCAGCTCTAGCCCAGTGAGGAGAGAGAGTTAAGAAGAAGGAGTGACAGCAGCATACTCTTCCAATTTCTTAGTCCAACTAACCACCACTACCATCCCATCATTATCACTGACACACACACACACACACACACACACACACACACACACACACACACACACACACAAACACACACACACACAGTTTTCCCCAGTCATATGGAAGCCTACAAAATTCATCCTTGTTGGAAGCCCACATAAACACTCCCATCTCATACTACAAAAGGTCAGAAATCAAATCTTATTTTCTACACTGCTAAAATAAGATGAAAAATGTTATTAAAGATTTGTGTAACAACACATTACCTTTCTTTTCAAGCTTTCTAATAGTCTCTTCAGCTTCATTTTGTTTCTTTTTGTATAACATTTTCAGTTCCTCTATTTCATTATTCTTTCTTTCTAAAATCTGCAAATAAATTTTAAATGTTTTAGTATATTGCATTGTTTTAAGTATGGGACATTTAAAAAATATTCTGACGTGCTTAATTCCAAAACATAAATACAAAAAGTGATTGCAAGAAATATGACCATTTTATGAAATGATTAATACGAACATGCAAACGTACATGCACACAAGTACACACATCTAACTAAAACAGTGGAAGGCAAAACCATGAACTATGAGGGTCTACGTCTCCAGTTTCAAGTGACCCAACAGGAGACTTAAGCATCTGCCTACTAGTCTGCTCTAACAGCAGCTAAGAGATAGCAACTATGTGATCTGCCACTCTCAGAAGCTTCCATGTAGCCTGGGATCATGGAACTTTCCTCATTTTGATTAGTGAATATTACCACAAACTGTTGTTATAGTGATTTAACTGACCTTTGAAATTGGTTCTCAAATGCCAGTGTTTTATACGTTAGGTAGAAGTATTTTGTCCCTGAAAGGGAATCAGTGATTATTTTCCTTAGATTAATGCAAAAATGGGTAAAATTTTAATGTCTAATGTTTCTCTTCACATATTTTCCTTATACCTATGAAGTTTACTCTTGTTTATCTGCTAACAAATTCCAGCAGATAACAGGTGAATGATTAATCGGCAAGCAAATACTAACAGAAAAACATAAAGAATCAATCACACAATTTTTAAATCAAGCACAATACTTTTGCAAGTCTATCTCAGCTAATCTCATACATGATTTCCCCTCAAAACTGTAAAATTATAGTGTATTTATAAAATTATTAAATATACTAGAATAATTGATTATCTGAAAGAAATGTTATCTGTTTGGGATTTTCATATACCAATTTTTAAGGAGAGTATAAGTAATGAGTTAGGTGATCCCCTTCCCTAAAACATAATTCAGAAATTAAACTGTCATAACATGACAGAGGGAAGCCATCGGAACCTGACATGCTGGTATAGTACAACTCATTACACTGCACTGGGACAGAACATCTTTCAGCTGAGTCCACCTCTGAACTCTTCCACAAGGCCCCTGCTATCACTGTAGTGCACAATACAAGGATTCCCAGATACACAGGAAGAGGACATGTAAGAGGCTCTTTTATATTCAGCTCTGCCACTGGGAATCAGAAAAGTCAGCTCAACATGTGTCAAAAATTGCCTGAAATTGTACATTGCTAATATATATTGTGCAGAAACTTTGCATTTAATCATTTAGTAAAATTTATATTTAATCATTTAATGAAATTTAATTATGATTTTATTTCTGAAAATACATCTACACATTATATTTGAAAATATCCTATAGAAATAACTAAAACGTAAGAAAGTTAGCAAGCAAGATAAAACACTAACCAAGGGGAAACAGAAAATCAAGCCAAGACTAGAGTAGGAATATCCACTTTTTTTAGACTAGGTATATAATGCCTATACACCCAAAGTCAGCCTTAAAATTACAAAAAGAGTCAGGTTTGGTAGCACCCAACTGTAATCTCAGCTACTCAGGAAACTGAGGTGGGAAGATCCTTTGAGCCCAAGAGTTCGACACTGCAGGGCATCATGATCACACCTGTGAACAGTTACTGCATTACAGACTCGGCAATAAGCAAGACCCTGTCTCTAAACAAGAAATAAAAAAGTTACTGATCAATATCTAACCACCTTTTTCTTAGTGTTTTTATTACTAGCAATTACTTCACTTTGCTTACTTTAGTCCTATAAGAAAAGGTACAAGTTTGACCCTAATGTCCACAGAAAAGCAAAAAAGGAAAACAATGTATGATAGTAGATAAGACACCAACTGCTGATGCTTAGAAAATGCCATACAAGCAACAAGTTGATGAATATACGTTTCAAATCTAGCATAAAGTCAAGGATTTTATTTCTATTTTATCTGGCACTTCAAATTTGTGGTACTGTTTTCTGCAATAAATTTCAGGGTTTATTTTAAAAGAGAAATTTCTGGAAAGAATTTTATTATTCAACGTTTTTCTTAAACTAAATCTTTGTAACAAATGCACCAAGAAGCCTATTTTAAAACTCTATCACCATGATTTTTCCAATTTTTTAAATTTATTACCTTATACATCAAGAGATTCTATTTCATTTGGACATGTTATATTGAAATTATAAAACCAACTCTCTAACATACTTATGATAGAGAGAAGCCATCAGAAACTTTATCTAAACATTTAAACTATAGAGGTAGAAACTATTATCTAAACAACTTAAATTAAAGTAAAACTCTATAAATGCAAAAAATATTTGCCTTTAACATCTGAATGGGGATGAAGAGAGGAGGAAAAATGGATTCAATATATTTATCCTTCTTAAATTCCATCAGTAGTTCTTTCCTTGTTGCTCTGAAAGAAGATGAGCCAAATATGCACCTGACAAAATACTAATGTATTTTGAGCTTTTAAAGAAAGCCAGGATTCATGATGTGCCCACAAGTACCTCCTCTGTCTCCGGCCCTCAGTTTTGGGAATCAGAATCATAGGCTTAGTTTTGAAACAGTAACTGCAATGTTCCTATTTGGATCAACCTCCATGCATTTTTTTTAGAAAGCAGGATTTATTGAGAGGACAGAAAAGCTCGCACAGTGGTGGGAGCGGACCCAAGGGGGTTGCCCCATGTATTTTTTTTTTAAAAATCACAGAGGAACATTAGTTCTACTAAATTATTTAATCATGGCTTAAATACAGTATCAACTCAATTCCATGTAGAATAACCATAAATTGATAACTTTTACTGTGCCAGTCAAGAAAAAAAATAAATTTTATTTTAAAATACAGGTTGAAAAATTAGAAAGTGTAAATCCCAATAAGCTGCTTTTAAAAAGAAGGCTTTACTGTCAGTGCTAACACTATAATGCATGCAGTCTATAACAAACAGAACTAAGTTCAAGAGTTCCTTTTTAAATTAAAAAGGAAATTTAATTGCCAGAAAACTGAAAGACTAGTAGAACAAAACAAATTCTAGGATTTACACTTGATGTCTTGTTTCAACATTCATAAAAGGCAATTACAGAATGCCAATAAAGGACTATAAAAGTCCAGACTTAAAGCAATAGTTATAGAAAAACTAAAAGGTATTGTAAATGTAAGTTTGTACATAAACACATATGTTTAGTCAATGAAGCTGACAGATCAGCCTCTGTTCGGCTATTACTTTAGCAAATTCCATTTATAACAGACTGTCATAAAACATAAGCAAGTGGATGAATGGATGGATGGATGGATAAATGAAAAGATCATCACAAGACCTAGATGTTTTAAATATTCAATATAAATAAAAGAATAAATGATACATATCCTACCTTTTGAACATCAGCATCATGTTTCTGCTGCAGTTTAAGCTTTTCTTCATGAAATTTAGCTTCCATCATTTTTGTTTTCATGTCCAACTTCAAGAAAAATATTTTAAAGGTGTAGTTAATACTTTTCCTTTGGGCAAAAAATACACAATTTTTTAAAACTCCCTATATAAAAGAGAGTATCATATTCCACTTTTACCTTGTAGTCACAAGTTGCAGCAATCACATAAATATGCTTATTACATTCTTTCAGTTACTTTCAAACTAATTAAAAGTCTTGAAAATAAATGTCACTTTGATAGGCAAAACTGACAATATTAAATACAGATTTACCACCCTTTCCCAAGGAAAAAGGTCATTTTGAAGTGGTATTTTGCATTTACATTTAAATCCGCACAACATTTTAGTCTTTATTATTTTTTGTTTAAGTAATTCTCTTCCAAGCTCTTATTTTTTTCCTATGATCACATCTAAGCACTCATTTTAAAATACTCTTATTAACCACATACGTAAATATGACAATTTGAGAATGAAAATACAGATTACTTATAAATACATCTCTCCCTCAAGAATTTTCCAGCTCTCCCTGGAACCATACCCCGACTCCCTCAAGGCAGTCACGATCTCCTCTTGAGCACTCCCTGACAACACCTCACCTCGCCAGACCAACACCACACACAGTACTGTCCTGAGCAAAGTCAGTAAAAATGTAACCAATGCTTGCCGGTAATAATAAACACATCCTACAATTAAAAGAGCAGTAGAGGCAGGTTTTAGGAAGAGCAACAAGAAACTGATCATCTCAAATGTGAAAATGTTTGGTCACCAGAGTCCTTATAATTTAAGAGAACATGCACACTGGAGCCTGAAGAACCTCATTTCTAATTCTAATCCCACTACATATTAACTGTTGTGGCTTTGGGCAATTCACCACAATTTCCTCTTCTGCTAATTATGAAAAGTTATCCTGACCTCAATGGATTGGGAAAATTATATTCAATAAAATAATATGTGAGCATAACTCAAAAGAATGTATAGCACAAAGTATATGCAAAAATATTAGTTTACAGACTCCAGGAAATTTTTTATTTAAAATATTAGAAACATACCATCAAAATTTTATCTTGAGAATGTTTGAAATATACCATATATTTTCAACTAGTTTCAAATATTAAAAAATAAATATAAATTTAGCAAGATAAACATGCACAATCAAATCAACATATCAAAATGAAATTTCAAAGTTTCACCAACAGAAGTTAATATAACACATATTCATAGCTTTCAAGCATTAAGAGTGGTGGAGAAGGAGACAATTATCCATTTACTATACAAACGTTTTCCTTATCTTGCCTCTCAGTCAAATGATATTTCTTCCTCAGTTTTGCAGAAAAAGGGATGGGATGATCTAATTCCATGTGAAGATCCTTAACAGAAACATATTTGGGGCCTACTAAAAGGGAATTAAACGCAAAAACTGTATGACAAAGCTGGTCAGGTATATGATTCATTGTCAGATACGTACTCAATACCTTCTAGAACACTTCTTATACGCTCAGCTTCTGCGGGTCAGCCCTAAATACTATGTAAGTATACCACTATCACCCCAACCCACCACCTCTCTTACCTGTCCCACCTCAATATTTAATGACCAGATTAGGAATAACCACTCAAAGCATGCTTAAACAATCCATTAACTAGCAAACAATCATTCAGATTCTTTCTCAAGAATCTGAACTAAGATAGCAAGTCTGCTACTTTGGGTAACAAACCCAAGTTCTACAGTGTAGCAACCAAGAGAAAGGAGATGAATCCTGTATACAGAAGAAAGCAAAACAAATACACAAACATAGCAAAGATTAGAAACCACATAGCATCTGAAATATGAAGTGAGCAAACTCAGGCTCCAACAGTCTCAATGACACAAGACTTCCTTGAATTCAAATAAATTTTTGCATCTGTTTTTATTTTAGGTAGCTTGATGGATGTCTGCTCTTGTAAATGAAGAGATTTATCTAAATTCTATTTTTTGGTTATAACTTTTTACTTTGAAATAGCATTAAACTTATAGAAAAGTTGCAATAATAGCACAAGGAACTTTGATATACCCTTTACACAGATTCACCAATTGTTTACATTTTGCCCCATGTCCTTTATTATTTTATATCCATATTTACATTTACATATGCATGCAGAGAGGTGCATGTATATTATTTTCTGAATAATTTGTCAATTAGAAACATAAAGTATCTTTATCCCTAAAAACTTCAGTGCACATTTCGCGAGAACACGTACACTGTCTTTAATAACCACAACACAGTTATCAAGTTCAGAAAATGTAATATTAACACAATAATATTATCTAATGCACAATTTATAGCCAAGTTTTACAAAATTCCATTTACAGCTATTTTTTCCCAATCAAGGATCCAATCCAGGATCACATGTTGCCTTTAGTTGTTATATCAAGGAGCTGTATCTCCTTTAATATGGAACAGCTTTTCTTTGTGTTTCAAGATCTTGACATTTTTTAAGAGTACAGTCAGTGATTATATGTTTCTCCATTTGGATTTGTGTGATGTTTTCTTGTGATTAGATTTATAGATTTATAGAATGACACTAAAGTGATATTGGTCCTTTTCCATTGCTTCACATTAGAAGGAAGTTTGTCCAATATTTCTACTATAAGGTTTAATAATTTGGTTAAAATAGTGAAATCAAGTTATTATAATGGTCATATTAAAAAGAAAGTTTCTCCACAGCCATTCTTTAAAAAAAATTAAGAGTATCTCTTCTCTGGAAACTTACTTTATGCCATAGAATGGCTCTATATTTCTACCCTGCCCTTTGGGGCAAAAATCCTAGACCTATCATGTCCATCTAGGCATGATAAATCATCAGGATTAAAATACAGAAACAGCCTTACTTCTATAGTAAAAGCAACACAAGGACACAAGATTTAGATGTAGTTATAAACATAGATACATGTACATGTGAGCATCTATTGACACATATATGTATACGCCAAAAGTGGTAAACCGCATTACCTAACTTAGTTTAACACAAAAGACTGAAAGACTAACCATAACACTTTTGATTTGTTGGACCTCCTCCAAATAACCCTGACTCCAAGCAACATTTAACTTTTCTTTTCCTAGAAGCAGAATATACACTATCAATTTCAAATTTAAGATAGGAAAATTAAGCCTGTAGAACTACTTTAGGATATAACGAAACAACCAGTACATAACTAACCTCTCACTGTTAACAACCATATGATAGGATAAAACCTATGAGGTGACCGTTTTCAGGTAGTGGACAGCAGGCCATGCAGTACTGTGATATGCACAAATTGAGCCCCACAATAGTCTCGGCTCTGCCTGGGTCCAACTACTGGAGCCCAAGTAGACCACTGCAGACCTGCTGAGCTGAGATGGCAGAGGTCAGAGTTCAGAGCGGCTGAAGCAGCTGGACTCTTAAGCACAGGGCACAAGGGAGGCATGAGCTGCCAGAAGAAGCCTCTGCCATTCCTTCACTATAGGCTGATGGGCTGGAATGTGTGTACATTGGGTACATAACAAAACATGGCTGCTACAGGGTAGAAAATGTAACAGATACTACAGATTAAGCAGTGCTCAGAGATACCAAAGATTCCGCCCAGCCAGTGTCTAACAACTTGTGAACACCTGTGAACAGCTGAAAGAACACAAAGACACACTTTTGGCTTACTCAAAACCTATCTAACAAAGGCTAAAAGCAAGACCCAGATAGTGTGTAGGTTAGATTCCACTGTATTGGATAATATCTTTGACTTTCTACATACTGCATTAACAGAATGGAACATCACGTGTACACAGCGTAAAGGTGATTGACTAGTAACTGAACAGCCAACAACAACAACAAAAAACTCTGTATTTTATGGAGAAAAATAACAGAATCCAGAGTTTCTACAATGTATCATCCACAATGTCCTTTACCCAGAAATTAATAAACTTGCACCAAAAAAAGAAAAGTGTCCATAAGCAAAAGCAAAACAAATAAATAATAAGTTCCAAGATGACCCTATTTCAGCATACAAAAGTTTAAAGTAGTTAATAAAAATAGCTTCCAAGAACTAAAGAAAAACATAGTCAAAAAATTGGAGGAAAATATTATTTTAATGAGAGAAGAGATACAGAATCTAAACAACGAATGAAAACTATAAAAAGGAAATAAATGAAAATTCCAAAACTGAAAAGTACAATAATAGAAGGAAACAAAAAATTACTAGATGAGCTTAACAGAAGATATGAGATAACAGAAGAAAGGACCAGCAAATTTCATGCCAAAACAATAAAATTCTCTAACCCAAACACCTGGGAGAAAGCAAAACTGATGTACTGACTTAAAAAATGAACAACATTTTAGGAACCTGTGAAACAAAATCAAACAATCTCATATATGCGCTACTGGAGAATCTATAGAACAGAGGGAAACTAGGGAAGGAAAACAAAGAAAAAAATGACAAAAATTTCTCCAAGTTTGATAAAAAATAAAAAACACTGACAGAGAACAAGAACTTTATGTGGGATAAATACAAAGAAAACAACACCTAGGAACATCCAGTCAAACTGCTAAAAACAAATAAAGAGAACGTCTTAAAAAGGCAGCCAGAGGGAAAGCTATTACATCCCGTCATCCCCCCCCCAAAAAAACCCCAAAAATAATGGCTGGACATAGTGGCTCAGACATGGAAACCCAGCAATTGAGGAGATCAAAGCGAGAGGACTGTTTGAGCTCATAAGTTCAAAACCAGCCTGGGACCTTGACTCTACAAAAAAATCAAAAAAGTAGCTGGGCGTGGTGGTGCACACCTGTAGACCCAGCTACTCGAGAGGCTCAGGCAGAAGAACCACCTGAGCCCAGGAGTTCAAGTCTGCAGAAAGTCATGATCATGCCACTGCACTCCAGTCTGGGCAAGAGTGAGACTGACTCAAAATAATAAAAATAATAACTACTTGCACCTCAGCAGAAACAACGGAGAACAGAGGACAAAGAAGTAATATCTTAGTACTGCCAAAAAAAAAAAAAAAAACCTTTCTCAGATAAAAGATGACATAATTTATCACAGTAGACCTGCACTAAATAGTAAAAGGAGTTCTTAAGAATAGAAACTTATAACTAAAGGAGAGACGAATACCAGAAATACTAAGTGGAGAAATACAAACATAATTTTTATTTTCTATAATTTCCTCAAAAGAGCACTATATAAAGAAAATATTGCTTGTTTTTGTTGAGGTCTCACTCAGGCTCACTGCGACCTTGCCCTCCCGGGCTCGGGCAATTCTTGCAGACTCCGAAGTAGATTAAACTTCAGGCGGGCACCACCATGTCCAGTCATTTTTTTGATTTCTTGTAGAGATGAGGTCTCACTATGTTGCCCAGGTTGGTCTCGAATGCCTGGGTTCAAGAAATCCTCCCACCTCAGCCTCCCAAAGTGCTGAGATTACAGGTTTGCAAGCGTGAGCCACTGTATCTAGCCTAGGATTAGACCATTTTTCACCGTTTATTAAAACTGCACTCTCGAAAGTCACAATGACATCATTTTCACTGCTCATCCAAAGGCCCTCTGATGATCAAATTTAAGGGCAGACATCTTTTTCTCCAGTAACTTGCACCATGATTGCCCTGTTTCTCTCCTTGGCTTTTCTTGGCTTCTGTGGCTGTATTGCTGTTCTGGTTCTCTGTCTCCTTTACACTGTCCACTTTTCCAGGTCCTAAAGGTGGGCATTCTCCCAGATTTAGTCCTATAGTCCTCTTCACTGTGTTAACCATTTGTCTCTGTTGATCTTATCTGGTTTACCTCTCACCTCCCTGGCAGAGGCTCACAGTTCTCCATCTCCAGGTTTCATGTCTTTCCCAGGTTCTGACTGCCTCCCAGAGAGCTCCAGCTGGATGTCCCTTTAATGCAGTTTCCAGACTAGTGGACAAAGTTCCTCGTTAGCCCTCAGCTCCGCTGATAAGAGTGGCCTCTTCACTACAAACTCCCCACCACCGATCTTTCACCCCATTAATGCACTGGAGAAGCTGCCAATCTCCCTAAAATGCAGGTGTGAAAATGCCATTCTCCGGGAAAAACTTGAATGGCTCCATCTTGCTCAAGGCATTTCTGACTGTACCACCCTCTCCTCCTCTTGTCTTTCTTTGACACTCTAGCCAAGGGGTCCGCAAGCTGCAGCTAAGCACACTCTAGCTTCTTGCTTCCATGACTTCTCTGCCCATTAAAGTCCCACACATAATTCCACGCCGGCTCAAATGGCACTTCCTCCATCAAGTATTCCCGAAGCTTCCCAGACAAATGCAATTTCTCCTTCCTCAACATACCACACAACAATTCATATTCTAAGTTGCCTTACAGTTGGTTTGTACTATACTTTCCTAGAAGTGAAATGTAAGTTTAGGAAACTATCATAATGCTTGCTGAATAAAATAGCTTAACTTTGTAGTCATATTTGTACTCCTTTTACATTATATACATGTACACATGTACATATGCATTAAAATTAAGTTTTAAAATTTAGGCAAATAAATATCTGGGCCTAAATTACAGAATCTTTAATGTCAGGCTAAGGTAGAGCAAGCCACTAAAGAGTATAAGAAGAGGAGCCCTTCTTAACACCGGGCATAAGAAAAGTGGATGTTCTCTTTTCCATTATTAAAATCAGCCATTGTGTGACCTATTCTCACCTTTTCATCCTCTAATACTAAAAAGGTCTCATTTGGGTCTGAAATATCCCTCTAAGCCACTTGTCCCCTTCAAAAAATATTTTATGATAAAATTAGTTGGGATAAATAGAAAAGACAAACCTTGTCTCTTTTGACCAATCCCCTAGGCTATATGACCAGAAAATCCTCTCAGACAATTAACGGAACCACTTCCAGGCTCAACAATACAATTTTAGAAGAATTAGAGAGCCATCAGGAGACTGGAACTCACTTCATATAACAAGTGTGTGTGCTAAGCCCTTGCCTGGAGAGTCTACCACTAAAGCAAAGAAGCTGAGATGGGAGGTTTCATTCTCCAGAGGGCACTCACGAAAGCTACCTTTAAAGAATGCCTGACGTTTCTCTGAGAACTCAAGAAAATGTACTTGGAAAACTCATTGGGACCCATTTTTTTCTTAAATATTTATTTCAAAGAATAGTTCTGAAGTTGGACATTCCCACCAAATAAATGAAGCTGATGAATATACTTTTTGTTAAAAAATATCTCCTTGAGAATAAAGACATCCTACTTATAGTGTAACCAGTTAAATTTTTAAAAATTATCCAAGTCATTGGATCTTTATTCTCAACTGGATATTTACCAACCTTGAGCTAACAGGTTTTTTTTAAAGGAACACTTTCAATGTTCTATTCACTGAGCTATTGAACGTGCACTTCTTCTTTTTTTTTTTTGTCACAAAGGGATCCATGAGGATCTTTATTTACAGTGAGCGGAGGCGGACTCCCTGCACGTATTACAAAAAAAAAAATACACACACATACATATATAGTATGTAAATATAGTATGTCAATATATATTGACATACTATGCAACTCAAAAGTTCCTCAGAGGTAGCCCACCCCTGGCCCAGGGGAGGCACACACAGGAGTTCACCGGCCGAGGAGCCAGGCTGCCCACACTCCTCAGGAGTGGCAGAGGGAGAGGAAATCACGAAAGCCACTGGGAAACATATTGAAGGTCAGAGTTGGGAGCAGGGGAAAAATCTGGAAACTGACGAAGGGCTCTTACATCACGTGGATGTGAGTACAATGCCTCATCTTTCCTCACCGTCCTCTACCGAGGCACCGGAGTCAGGATGCCCCAGCTGGCCCCTGGGCCACGCTGAGCCCCTCAGAGCATGGCAATGGCTTTGGCAGCCACCTGGCAGCCCAGGGACAGGCTGAGGTCCATGATGGCCAGGACCACTTTGGGGCTGGACATAGCTGACACCTTCACCAGTTCCAATACGGTGGTGAAGAGCATGAACTGCAGGACGCTGCCCCGGCTGAGCTGTTCCAGGCAGTCCACACACTCCTCCGTGAACCACTGCACGAACTGGTGGGGGGCTGGCGGTCCGCAGCCCGGGATAGAGGAGATGAGCAGGAACAGGCTGGCCAGGACGCAGTTCAGAGGGTCCCTCATGTTGACCTTGTGCAGCTGGGAGGCCGAGAGGGAGCTGCTCATGGACCTGTCAGTGGGGCTTGAGAGGACATTGGTGTCGTCCTCACTGGAGCTCAGCAGTCACATCAGCTTTGACGGCTGCATGTCGTCTGAAGGGAAGAGACTGATGTAATAATCCTCAATGTCTTCGCGGTGTCTCTTCTTTTGCCAGGTGGATGCCTGTGCCTTGTGGGAGGAGTAGGAACTCAGGGCACACCACACTGCCAGCATGGCAAGGCAGTGTCAGGGAGGTCCATGAGGCTGTGCCACTTAGAGGAGTCAGTGAGCAGGCCAGGCAGGATGTGGCCCAGAAGGACTAGAGTCACTTGCTGCTTGTCCAGACAGAAGATGGAGTAAAGCAGCTCCACCACCCGCAGCGTGTGCTCCTTCCGTGTCTCCTTTAGTAGCTCCTTAACCAGGTTGTTGCAAAACCAGCAGACACACCCATGTGTAGCAGAGTGTCGAAGATGTGGATGGAGCAGCTGTCCACCTGGCCCTTCTCCAGCACCTTGGCAAAGATGTCCATCAGCACTTCCTTGATGGGCCGCTTGGGGGGCAGCAGGTTCCAGTAGGGCATGGCGTCCACCCCCATGAAGGGGAACTTGATCTGCATGGCCATCTGCTGTAGCAGGCCGGCCCACATGTGCTCCAGGATGGAGCTCATGATCACCACCCTCTCATTGCAGAACTGCAAGGGTGTCCTCACCGTGCAGTGGCCCTGCCAGCTGGCGGATCATCTGCAGCGACTTCTCACGTTCATCCCGTCCCAGCATCCAGACGTGGGTCACAAGCCAAGCCACAGCACACACCGCGAGACTGCACACCTTTCCCTTGATGTCATCAGCGATTTTCTGGATGGACTCGAAGGCCAGGACCCCGTTCTCCCCAGCGCTGAGGATTCCCAAGACGGCAGCTGAAATGCCGAGACAGGCTTCCTGCCACTCCATCTGCACCGGCTTCATCTCCGAGGAGTAGTTGAGCAGGGCCACCAAGGACTCCACTTCGGCGGAGTCGGGCCGCAGGCAAGGGTGGTCGCGGCTCAGGCTTGTGCCCTCCTCGGGCATGTAGGTCTGCACTCAGGTCTCGAAGAAGGGCACCTCTGCTCCTGTGCGCGGCTCGGAGAGAATCACCTCTGAGCCATAGGTCAGGGCCACGTGGTACCGCATGAGGAAGGAGAGGTCGAGAAGCAAGGCCCGAAGTGAAGCGGGTGTGGTGTTTTCTTCACTGCCATCAGTCGTGAATCCATGCGAACCGATGAATTTCCGGGTGAAGGGTTTAAGCTCCCCCGTGGCAGCAGCAACACGTCCAGACTCTTCCCGGAGAGCACGTGGCCCAGGACCCCCAGCAGGTCCTCCAGGGACTTGGAGCGGTCTGCCTCAAATCATCTTGAGGATGTCTGTGACAGCAGGCTCCACCGAGGATCAGCCCAGGATTCAGCTGGATGTTGGTGTTTTCTCCCAACTTCTGCTGAGAGGCACGTTCCCGGTCAGCGTTGCGCTTAGCCGTGAGGTTGTCCACGTTGGCTTCGGACAGAAGCCCCTGCTTGTCACATTCTTGAGGCAGGAAATCTGTACAGTCACAGCTGCCGCGCTGGCCAGCTTTGCCCAACAAGGGCGTGCGCTTCAGCAGGTACTCCAAAGCAGAGTGACATCCTCAGCGAAGTCCCTGTCCCTGTGACAGAACTTCCTTAACTTCACCAAAACCGGTGGGATCCGAGGAAGGTGAAAGCCATCCGCTTGAGCCCCCCTGTGCCTTTGGGAGACTCGGTGAGACCCACGAAGCAAGTTTTCAGATCTCCGGGACAGAGAGTGGAGTGGGATGTGCTGCATGCACCTCACCATCATCAGCGGCTCCGCCAGTGGCTGTGTCTCTCCTGTCAGGCTCACGGTCCCCTCAAGCAGGACCAAGGAGTGGACAGTAGGGAAGCCCATCTTATGCAGCTGCTCTGTGTGCACAGACAGCATTGTGGGGATGCTCCTAATAAGAGTGCCACACTGCTCAGCCTGGCTCCGGAGCTGGGGGTTACTGAGACCAGCCAGGATCTCCCCAGGCTTCCAGAGAGAATGCTCGATAGCAGCCCAGGAAGAGGCCTCCTCTAGTTTGGCGATGTGGAGCTGGTCCCGGTTCTTGGCGCTGCTGGGGGTCTTCTCCAGTCGCTGCAGGCACATGGCAAGCTGCTTCTCCCCTGTAGCAGGAGAGCCAGCCTCCAGCCCCTCCTGGAGCCGCTCCACAGAGGCTCAGTGACAGCTCAGATAGTCACAAAACATATCCATGATATCCAGCAAAGCCTGGACGCACAGGTCCCAGGAAAAGTCATCAAACTTACTGATAGCCGTGAGGACAGAAGAGGAGGACACCATGTGAGAGCTAACGGCATACTTCAGACAAGACAGGATGAGAGGACGGGGAGAAGGCCCAGGCATGGCCTGCTCCCGCAGTGCATCTGCCAGATTGAGAATGTCACAGGTGGCCCTTCACGTTGATTGCCCATTGGTAGTCACTCCATCGCTCCTTCCAAGCTTGCAAAATGGCTTGCTTCAGGTTCACCACCTTCATAACTTCACTCTGAGGCGGCGGGGTCGGTGGCAGTCAGCTTTGAGGTGAGAGAGACAGAACTCGAGAAGAAGGGATGAGGTTCGGACAACGTAGTTCTAGATCCTAGGCAGCGCCTCTGAACGTTCACTTCTACAGAAGGGCAGATTTCTTATTCAAATGCTACTTTTTACTATTAGCAGTTTTACATGTGCAAATTTTGTTTAACATTTGGTACTGAAATTAGCAAAATGCAAAAATAAAACAGCATAATAATCATTAACGACTATGTAAGAAAAAATATATTAACGTTCAATAGACAGGCATCATCCATGCCTTTTAAAATAAAAAGGAAATCCCTTTAAAGTTGCTCAGTCACCTACCTCAATCAACTACCTCAATTAGGGTAAAAGGAACAAAACGCAAAATTTATTTTGATGTGGAAAATAACTATGCAAGCGTTTAATGAAGTGTAAAAATGTAGCCACTGCAGTATTACTGAATGTTTTGGTTTGTCTTTATTGACTGTGCCTCTGCACCAATTAAACCGTAAGGCATAAAAGGCCTAAAACATCACTTGATGTCAAACTTGATGTCAAGTTTCTGTGCTGCCCAAGTGTTTCCAAAGCATTATCAGCAAGAACCGAACAATGTACTTACTCAGCCACGCTTCCTACATTTGCCCATTTATCTGTTTTTGGAGACGCGCAGCAACATCCAGGACTCGTCACACAGATGAAGTCTGGGCCTCCCTTCGGCCGCGACGCTGCACCTCCGACATTTCAACAGTTGTCACTCACCCAGCGGCAAAGCGAGTGACTCACACAACCATCATCTCCCTATTTGCTTGGATACCTAACTGTTACCATCACTTTTCTAGGGAATTCTGTTAGCCGCCAGTCAGAGGACACTATCATCTTCTTCCTGCGTAATGCCTCCAGAATATTCTATTCTTAAGATATTTCACAATGCTAATGGTTATCCATGATGTTTGTTTATAAACACAGCCAACAAACTAAGTCCTCTCTCTTGTTATGTCACTCCTGGGAACAAGAGATACATGAAATTTTCCTAAATAGTAATTTTAATCTTCTCAGAACTGACCACATTATGGGAAGAAGTGATACTTAAAGTACACACAGTCCATGCTCTTATTTCTTCTCTAGTTTTAAAAATGTGTCCATATATCATGTAGAAACATAATTTATATAAAGTATATACATACTACATATTGAATTTTTTTAGCTTGCCTGCACCCCTCTTGGTGTTCTTTTTTTTTAGTTAGTGTCTCACTCTGTCACCCAAGCTGGAGTGCAGTGGCACAATCATGAACATCACAGCCTCAAACTCCTGGGCTCAAGCCCTCCTCCTGTCTCAGTCTCCCAAATAGCTGGGCTGGAACTACAGGCGTGTGCCACTGCAACCAGATAATTTCTTTTTTTTTTTTTAAGAAACAAGGTCTCACTATGTTACCAGGCTGGTCTAGAAATCTTAGGCTCAAGCAATTCTCCTGATCGGGCCTCCCAAAGTGCTGGGAATACAGGCATGAGCCACCACGCCAGGCCTCATTTTCTTTTTTGTTTCACTCTCTCCTTTTCCTCTCCATATCTTCCTCCATCAATACCCTCCCTGGATATTCCCTTTAACAACTTAGTATGTTTCCCTATCTTCTGCCATGCTCACAGAATGACACACAAATACATGCATGAGCATATCCGCTCACACCGTGTGGGTGTTCGTGGCACAGACTACCATTGTCCCCAGGTATCTATTCTCCTCTTCTTTCTTTGGGGCTCTCCTATCACCACAAAACGTGGGTGAGCACTCTTCAACCACATGTAGCTGCCTGTGACTATGTGACTAGGGACAGCCAAGGAGAATGATGAGGCAGGAATGAGGCGGCAACGTTTACTTGACACCTTTAAAGAGGAAGTGGCTTTCTCTGCATGCTCTTTCTGAGGAACTGTACTGCTGAGCAGCTGCCATCTCAGACCCACAGACTGAAGCCAGAGTTTCTCCACCAGTCTGGGTCCCCAGTGACACCACAGAGCAGAGAGCATGACCTAAACACACTGGACTCCAGCATGATATAAATAAGTTATGTTCTTTAAGTTGCTACATCCTCAGCACACATAATTTTTAATATTCTGCACACATTAACATGCAGTGTGTCCCAAATATTTCCTCAAATCTATTATTTTTCTTTTGACTTATGTATCAGAGTTCTCCAGAGAAACATACCAATAGTATATACAAGAGAGATTGTAAGAATTGCTTCCATGGTTATAGAGGCCGAGAGGTGCTACGATCCTCTGTCTGGAAGCCAGAAAACCAAGAAAGGCAGGGGTCTGATTCATTCAGAGCTTGAAGGCCTGAGAACCAGGGCACCAATGTCCAAGGCAGGAGAAGATGGACATCGCAGTTCAAGAAGAAGGAATCCATCCTCCAACTGTCTGTTCTGCTGAGGCCCTCACAGGATGAATGCCATCCACACACACTGGGAAGGACCCATCTACGTTACTCAGTTCACTAATTCAAATGCTCATCTCATCTGTGTCTGTCCCTCACAGACACAGAAGAAATAACGTTCTAGCAGGTATCTGGGCATCCCTAAGCCCAGAGAAGTTGACACATAAAACTAGCCATCACTACCTTGTCTGTGATGTTTCTGCCATTAAAAAAGTCTTTAATTTCACTTGAGTCAATTTTTGTTTTTGTTTCCTTTTTGAGTTGGAGTCTCACTCTGTCATCTAGGCTGGAGTGCAGTGGCATGCTCATGGCCACTGCAGCCTCGACCTGCCGGGCTCAGGCAATCCTTCCCCTCAGCCAGGCAATCTTCTCATATCAGCCTCCCAAAGTGCTGGGATGATAGGCATGAGCCACTGCGCCGAGTCAAATATTTCAATCATTTTTTTTTATAGTTTCTGAGTTTGGAAACGTTTTGTGTATAGAAAGGTATCTCAATTCCTAGATGTTTTAAAAAACTCTTTGTTGTTTTAAAACTTGCTTGGGCATTTTAGGTTAAGTTTTTAGTACATCCAGAGATTACTTTTGTTTTTAGAGGATGACTCAATTTTATTTAATTTTGGGTAAATAACAAATTGTACCAGCATCGTTTATTAAGTAATAAAAATTGTTCTCAATGTGTTGATAACAAACTTTGTTATTAAATTTTTATTTTTACTGGAATTTAATTTTTTTCTTGTAATGTCCTTTATGATTTCAATGTCAGAAGTATGCCTGCCTCATAAAATGAGTTAAGAAATATTCCCTTCTCCACTAGTCTCAAAGAAAATTGAGTGTAATATTGGAATTAGTTCTTCCTTAAATGCAACCTTATATAAATATGTAGCTGAAAAGGGAAGAAGAATCTTAGTACTCTTTTTAGATAACTGTAGATAATCTTCTCTAGAAAATCAGCTCTCACAAGTACTAATTTCAAGAACTAGTTTTTAAAAGTTACTTGCCCTGTAGTATCTGAAGTTTTTCATTCAGATTAAATTATTTTGGTCTATCTTCCACTTGGAATGGATCTTTTCCCTACATATGAATATATTCAAACATATAATAATCATTTAGAAAATGTAAGTTCAATAAGTTATGAAGATATCAAATACTAAAAATGTCATTATATAATATCCAAACTTCACATTGGTTAATGTCCTCACCAATCTTATCAGAAGAGTATTAGTATTGCAAAGTTGTCAAGCTCACAGTGACTAAAATTAGAATTTTCTAAAATTCTAATTTTTTGCTAGGAGCGATGTCTCAACACCTGTAATCTCAGACAGTGTGAACCGAGGGGCTCAAGACCAGCCTGAGCAACATGGCGAGACCTTGCCGCTACAATAAATCAAAAAAATTAGGCGGGTGTGATGGTGTGCACCTGTGATTTCAGCTACTTGGAAGGCTGAGGCAGAAGGATCTCCTAAGCCCAGCAGCTCAAGGCTGCAGTGGCCATGAGTGTGTCACTGCACTCCAGTCTGGGAGACAGAGTGAGAGTACAACTCACAAAAAAAATTAAAATAAAATTATCATTTTCACTGAAAAGTAAAATGTTAATATTTACAACAAATATTGTGTTTTTTTGCTTGATTTGACAAGGTTCATTTTGTACAGTTCTGAAAAAAGGGTCTACCAAATAGCCCAATCTGAATATTCACAGTTTATCATGCAGTCATTCTTTCAAATAAAAGTGGTATTCCACAAAAACAATAGCCATCGCAGCTCACAACTCAGAGAGTTACACAAGTGATTCTCCTCTGGGCAGTCATCGCAACTCTGACATACAGTATAAGTTCTTTATGAATAGCTCCATTTCATCACTCAGATAGCAAAAAAGTGCATTTTCAAAGGAAAAGGTTTAATAAAGTTAATAATTTTTACTGCCTGCTTCATCAAGGATTTCTTAAGTAAAACTGGCCACTGTGTTTCTGTGAGTGTGTGGCAGCGAATTGGTGCCACTGACTTGACTTGAGCCAAGACATAGTTTGACCCAGCACTGCTTTTATACCATCAGTGCAAATGTTAATGCAAAAAAAACCATAAATCAAAACATAAATACCATTAAATAGATAGCAATGCATATTAGCCTAATACAGTTATCTGGCACAACATGGACAAATGTCTGTAACAAACTATTGAGCAAGATGTAAAGAATATTAAAAGTTTAGTTCAAGCCAGGTGTGGTTGCTCACACCTATAATCCCAGCTCTTTGGGAGGCCCTGGTGAGAGGATTGCCTGAGTCCACGGGTTCCAGACTAGCCTGGGCAACTTGGTGAGACCTCATCTCTACAATAAATCAAAAAATTAGCCAGGCATTGTGATGCATGCCTGTAGTTCCAACTACTTGGAAGACTGAGGCAGGAAGGATAGCCTGAGCCCAGCAAGTCAACCCTGCAGTGGCCATGAGGGTGCCACTGCACTCCAGCCTGGGAGACAGAGTGGGATTTCAACTCAAAAAGAAAAAAAAAAGTTTAGTTCTATTTATATAAAGTTCAAAATCTGGTAAAATTAAAATATT